CGTTTTTTCGACGAGGTATCCGTATGCTACCAGAAAGATGGGAAAAGGTAGTGGCTAGCGATGGACAATACTTCGAATAAAACATTATGTACCGTTCTTTCACAATAAATGCCCAATTTTTGATAAAAAACGGCGGAAACTTATTTATACTCCTAATATATTTAGTATATTTATTATATTTCTCTATATAATTGCATAGAGATATATATGAGTCTTCTGTCCGTAAGTGTTCCTTCGTCTGAATACGTTGATGTGGTCCTGAAAAGGACCATTTTACTATATAATGGTCTTAATAACCAGTCTACAATCTCTGTCGTGCAATAACTAACTCTAAACGACGTAAAATAGAAGCACTTAAGTTTGTGAAAAGTTCTGGCTTATTTCTCAACTTTTCCCATTTGTTTCTTGCGTGCGCAACCAGAGCTTCTCGTGTTCTCTCATGACCAGGAATCCACGATTTCACAATTACTCCCCAGATATTTTCTATCAAATTGAGATCTGGGGATTTCGCTGGCCAATCAATCACTTCGATTTCCGGATGGTGAGCGAACCATTCTTGAACTACATGAGATGTATGGACCGCAGAATTGTTTTGAATTAATCGAAATGTCGGCCAAGCATCTTCAGGGTATATTCTGCGAACGCTGGGGAGTAAAACGTTCTCCAGAATATCCACATACTCGACGGCGTCCATATGCGGCGATGTTTCAATAATTTCTCCTGGACAATGTGCGCTAATCCACCCCCACATACCACAAATGATACGCCCACTTTGCTCGCAAGAAAGCACATAGTGCGGATCGAATCGACGATTTAGTGGCCTCCAGACGCATAGAGATCGATCATCCGCAGAACAAAACACCTTTTCATCCGTCCAGATAGTACGGTCCCAATCATCAGGTGTAGCAGTCTGTAGTTGATTCATTGCGAAAGCAACTACAACGATTGTCTATGTGCCTGGTGTTTAAGGCAATTTTGCGTGCACGATACGAATAAATATTTGCCTCGTGCAAACGTCTTCGTGCTGTATTTGCAGATATCTGCAAACCCAACTGATTTACAGAATGCATCACCGGACGAAAAGGATCTATATCTATCTGGCAAACTAAGGCCATATTTTCTTCTGCGGTTGTCGATCGCTGTTTCCTATTGTGTTTTCGTTTGTCTATGAGACCAGCTTCTCCTTCGACTCGGTATCGAGAAATCCACTTTCACACACATCGTGGAGTGCACGGGATGCACTGTGCTATGTCTTCTGAAGAAAGGCCAGCTTCCCACATTCCAATAATGCGTCCACGATTTACTTCGCTAAGAGCCATATTACACGACACAAGAAGAAATAATATATAATTTGTTTCACTCATTACACGCCACGATTCGAAAAACATCGGAAAAACAATTGCCGATTCGATGGTCCTCGGCTATCGCCGTAGCAAAATCGGATTAATTCGGTCGTGATCTGATTCATCAAGTTATGGCGCGTAATAGACATTTTAAATTGCACCGCAATAATTCGACATTGTAAGAGCTTAATACTGCAATGCGCTTTGCGTTTTGTGTTTTGTGCTTATTGAGCGCTGAGTTATTACCAATTTTATCGCAATGCTATTTTCAAAATATTTATTAAGCGCTCAATGTGTCAAACGCGATAAATCAGATCGCGACCGAATTAACTTGATTACGATACTACGGTGCCAAGAACTATTAAATCGGCAATAGTTTTTCGATGTTTTTTGAATCGCGGCGTGCATTTTGTGTTGTGCAATATGGCTTTTCACAAACCTAAGTGCTTTTATTTTACGTCGTTTAGAGTTAGTTATTGCACGACAGAGATTGTAGACTAGTTATTAAGACCATTATATAGTAAAATGGTCCTTTTCAGGACCACATCAACGTATTCAGACGAAGGAACACTTACGGACAGAGGACTCATATATATCTCTATGCAATTATATAGAGAAATATAATAAATATACTAAATATAATAAATACACTAAATATAATAAATATAATAAATATAATAAATATATTTAACTCTTTAACCCTTGTTTTATTTCATTCGGAGAACATACACTTGTGTGCTTAAATTAATTTTTCAGCTGCGACGAGTATACTCGGCTAAAACAGAGTAAGTGCATTTGTTGTAAAATCGAAATAAA